GAGGGTGCCGCTAAAAAAATCTTGAAAAAAATTCTCATTAAAAGCGAATTAGAGCCTATTGGTTATCGAAAATTTCAAACGGGTCTCTTGAATATGCACTTAGAAGTGAAGAATCCGAATCGGAAACGTAAAAAACGTACTTAGGAGCCAAAAGATCCTAAGGTTACCTTTAAAAATGTGTTTGAATGTCGGAAATTCCAAATGTAAAAAAACGTTAGCAAGACCCAAAAATTTCAAACGTAACTCATGAAAGTATATTTGGAAAATACAAACAAAAATTTGTTTCAATCACCATTATAACATTTTCTATAATAATTGACAATATTGAAAAACATTCTTCAGTATATGTTTATTCAACGTTTTATGATACAACATGCAATACCTTATAGACGCTAACATTACGAAAGGATTTAATGATTTTATAGATTATAGAGAACGGTGCACTACACGTAATCGAATAGCGTTTTACTAATATTTTATAAGGAAATATTACGATGCTTAAATTTGATATGATAAAATGTCAGTGAATTCATTTTGGTATAAAACAGATATTCTAAAAAGAAAAAAGCAAAAACAAATAAACATAGTGTAGATATTATTTTTAAATTCGCTTTAATTCATTTCATTCTTCTATGTATCATTTAGATTTTTATAGCGAATAATATGATAATCTTATGGATGTGTAGATATCAGTGAGATATTAGAATAGGTTCAAGTTATACTAATATAAATATAAACAGTGAACAGAATGTTCGACTTATGGTAATTTGAATGCAACATCAATGGTATCGTTGCTATTATTGCTGAACTGGTGGAGCCATTGGAAGACTTGATGCATTCACGCTCGACATGGCTTTACTAGGTCCTAGCAAGACCTGCTTCTGTTGCGTCCGTTGTACTTCTTCCATTTGTACTCGTTCTATCTCAAACAATATAGGTGCAAATAAAATAGCAGATGAGCTGAAGAATACCCATGCTGCTGAACATGAATACACATATAATCCTACAAAACACCAGAATGTATCACTTATTTATAATGTGACATTGAATATCTGAAATTAAAGAATACAGACCTTTCATACAATTGCATAAACAAGAGCCGATATTATATCCCACGTTTCGTACTTTTTCCGGAAACATTTCCGTAAGTCCCAATAATCGTTCTGCCAAGCTTTCATCCTAAAAACAAACTCAAAGATACTGTATTTTTCATAGTGAAAATTTAATATCATTAAGCCGCAACACGGAAGCATGATTCGTAGGCAACAAAATATTTGGTTAATTCCTGAAGATTAATTATGGTTACTATCCGTAAAAATAACGACTCGTAATAATGCAAAGCTTCATTTATTTATCACATTAATACGTAATCACTGTATATCAAAATCGAATACCTCTTCGTCATCCTCATCGTCAGGAAGAAGCGATTTCACCTCGGGAGAATGTGCGTCGCTACTACCCATGCCGCTATCCAATTGCTCTACTTCTTCGACTGAAGTCATATCAGAAAATAATTGACGATTGATAAACGAATGAACGATGTACTTTATTTTCACGAACTAAATTTTAAAATTCACCTTCTTCTACTCTGGACATCATAAATTAAGATAAATATTATATGTATGAAAATTCACACCAGTGTAAAGCAGATACAGAACAACTCTGATTTTGCTATGGTCGTGGAGGTTTCTAAATTGTATTTAGAATGGCGCATGTTCAGATGAATATCTGAAAAAAGTCCCTAGACAATTTTTAAAGTATAAATCTCTATATAGTTCCTAAGAATATATAGATGCATTGTATATTTCTATTTATGTTTTTATAAATATATAATAATATTAAGAAACAGAATTAAATTGAGTAAAAAAGATAATCTAAAATAGGAAGATATAAAAGATTAATTTGTCCTTTCGTTTCTAACTTTCTCTCTCTCTCCCTCTCTCTCTCTCTCTCTCTCTCTCTCTCTCTCTCTCTCTTGCTCGTTCGTTTCATACGCTATTAAATAAAACTGTATGTCATTAGTCATTGCATTGGATCTTTTCGATAGAAATTCAGTATTTTGTTCATGTCATGTCACCAACAGTATTTCGATGAACGTATAAACGATGTTCGTATTATTTAGTATCCAAAGCTAATTTTCTGAAACGATTATACAATTTTTGGAAATATCGATAAATGTAATAAATATCAACCGTTTTTACATTGGAAGTTCAAGAAATTGTGACATTTTCCAGTATTTTCCATATTCTATTCTTAGTAATTGTGCATAATTTTTATTTGTTTAATCTTCGACGTTCGTTGTACTTAAACAAAATTTTTGTGTACTTGAACGCGTGAGATATATTTTTATATCTAAATATTATTCTGTATGTTATATGTATTACATATATGTTACATATAGATTTACAAGCGTCGAACGTAACGTAAATAGGATTTATAAAATCACGAAAACATCCTCTCGAACTTGATCAGGATGGCAAACACAGGAGTATTACCCTTTGTACGAGGAGTTGATTTTAGCAGCAACGATTTTAGTGTAAGTAATTATTTCCTTTTAGAAATATAGTTTTCAACTGTTACAATTTTGCATTTTACAGGGTGGCAAATTTCCAGAATCAGTACGGTTAATGACTGGTATACAATGGCTGAAATTGGACGAAACCAACTTGACTGAGATTCCAGAAGAAATGGGCAAATTGTTGAAGCTGGTAAAGCTGTCTGCGTATCGACATTTATTTTTTAAGTGTGCACAAAGTTCAGGATGAAGCTATCATGATCGAGGTTCTTATTGATAGTTTAGTAAAATATAAATAATAAAAATTAAATTTTTTTTCTTTTCCAAAAACAGGAACACCTTTCATTAGTTAAGAACAGATTGGAACGCTTGTATGGAGAATTGACGGAACTCTGTTGCCTTCGTACATTGAACATAAGACGCAATAATATTAAATCAAGTGGCATTCCAGCAGAATTATTTCATCTAGAAGAATTAACCACATTGGATTTGAGTCATAATAATTTAAAGGAAGTACCAGAAGGACTGGAAAGAGCTCGATCTTTGTTGAATCTAAATTTAAGTCACAATCAGTAAGTGTTACATGTACAAATTGTTAAACAGTTGCATGGTCAGTTATGAATAATCCTTATATTATCTTTTCAGCATTGAAACAATCCCTAATACATTGTTCATTCACCTAACTGATCTGCTATTCTTGGATCTTAGCAATAATAAGTTGGAAACACTACCACCACAAACTCGTCGCTTAGCAAATTTACAAACTTTAAACCTGAATCACAATCCATTAGGACACTTTCAATTAAGGTATAGTAAATGAGATCAATATGACAAACCATTGTTGAGTTTTCAAATACGATATTGTTTATTCTTTTTTCACTCAGACAATTGCCATCCTTGATGAATTTAATGGCCCTACAGATGTGCGACACGCAGAGGACATTAAACAATATTCCATCAAGTTTAGAGACCTTGACGAATCTGCAAGAACTTGATTTATCTCAAAACAATTTACCCCGGGTACCAGATGCACTTTATTCTCTGTTGAATTTACGTCGCCTGAATTTAAGTGATAATCAAATAACGGAATTGTCAACAGCAATCGGTAGGTTTATCTATCGGGACATCAATTCTATGATTACTGCATATCTCTCGCCAATCTACGCACGATGGATGTATTGTAACATTTTTATTTCAGAACTTTGGACAAAATTGGAAACATTAAATATATGTCGTAATAAATTGTCCGCGATACCTGCCTCTCTGTGTAAAATCGTTACTCTCAGGAGATTATATTTGAACGACAATCAGTTAGATTTCGAAGGTATTCCTTCAGGCATTGGCAAACTATCTTCGTTGCAAGTATTTTCAGCAGCTAATAATCGTTTAGAAATGATACCCGAAGGTTTATGCAGGTACACCGATTAACTTCCCTTTTCAAATGCTTCTTTAAAATAAATTAATGTAATAAGGACTTTTCATAAGTACCATAAGCATCATAAATGCACGTATTCCTTCCTCAGGTGCGGATCGTTAAAGAAATTAATATTATCGTCTAATCGGTTGATTACCGTACCAGATGCTATTCATCTTCTTACCGATCTAGAACAACTTGATCTAAGAGATAATCCGAATTTAGTAATGCCGCCAAAACCAATGGAAGTTCAAAAAGGTTCCGGCATCGAGTTTTATAACATCGATTTTTCCCTACAACATCAATTGCGACTTGCTGGCGCTAATGTACCTACGCCTATTCAGACTGCTGGTAAGTCTGTTCTTACTAACAATATACTATATGTACACCAGATCGTGATTTACACTGAGCAATCATAAGTAATTAATTATAAGTGATATTAAACTTATATATTCAATTATTTTGATCATGTATGACCACACTATGAGCACTGTTTAATTTCTCATAACCATATCTAACAGTTTATTTCTTATATTTCAGGTAGCAAGGATCCAATAGCTCGCAAAATGAGATTGAGAAGAAGACGAGACCAAGAGGAAGCTGATCAAGATCAGGCCAAGATATTGAAGGTATATTACGAAAATAAGCGGTATTTGGATCGATTAATTTTCTCTTTCTTCTTTAGGGTATGAAAGATATAGCAAAGGAGAAAAATAAAGACAAAGAATGTGAAGAATCGAAAGCAGAATCGTTGAAGTAGGTAGAAAATATGCATTACAAGAATTCGTTTTATGCATTATAAGAGATCGATTCATTATTCGGAAATTTCGGGTTTCTTGTCTTTTTTATCTTACTTTCGCTTTCAAGACCTAAACGATGGGATGAAACTTTGGAAAAACCACCACTGGATTATTCTGAATTTTTCGACGAAGATGCTGGTCAGATTCCTGGTTTATCTGTCTGGGAAATAGAGAATTTTTTGCCCAATGAAATAGAAGAAGTGGCACATGGAAAGTTCTACGAAGGCGATTGCTACATTGTTTTAAAGACTGAAATAGATGAAGCTGGATCTTTAGTTTGGGCAATTTATTTCTGGATAGGGGAGAAAGCTACGGTGAGTATATAATAATATGTATAATGTATGTTTGAAATAATCGATCGGCATACGATATAGCAACGTGCAAAGAGCACTTCTTGAAAATGTGTCACCTTTTTCAAATCGATGTATAACACTTTATAGTTGGATAAAAGAGCTTGTGCTGCAATTCACGCAGTAAATTTACGTAATTATTTGGGCGCGCAATGTCGTACAATCAGGGAAGAACAAGGCGAAGAATCGGATGAATTTCTAATGTTGTTCGAGTCTGGCATTACATATATCGAAGGAGGTCGTACCTCGTCCGGTTTCTATACAGTCGAAGATACGGTTTGTATTGTTGAATTTGAATTTACATTATTGACCTTATTTTTCTGACTATATCTTACCGTATGTTTTTACCTTTCCATATTATTGTTCAATGTGTTTGCTTTCGATCCGGTTGGCGCATACCAGCCATCGATAACACGATTGTATAGGGTTCATGCTGCCGGAGCTTCCATCCATTTAGAACCGGTCCCTGTTTGTTGTGATTCCTTGGATCCGGGTTTCGTATTCGTCTTAGATACTGGCAACAAGATCTTCATATGGTACGGTAAAAAAGCGAAGAGTACACTGAAGTCAAAGGCGAGATTAATGGCTGAGAAGATCAATAAAAATGAAAGAAAGAATAAAGCAGAGATCATGACAGAAATTATGAATACAGAGTCGGATGATTTTTTATCATGTTTAAACGTCAAAGATATTTCGCACCTGCCACCGATTGCCGTAAGTTGTTTGAGTTGAATTGTTTTTAAGGCACGGCTACGCGCCTAGGAATCTATCTCGCAAACGCTACGTGATCTTATTTACAGCCAGACCAATCTATTGTTTTAATGCTTCTCATTATAGGAACATGTGGATGCAAATTTTGTACCACTTGCACCACGTCTGTATCAAGTACAACTTGGTATGGGATATTTAGAATTGCCACAAGTCGAAGTACCTCATGGGAAACTAACCAACACGCTTTTAAACAATCGCAATGTTTATATATTGGATTGTCACGTAGATGTTTACGTTTGGTACATACTCAAAACTTCTAATATAATCTCAAAATATTGAACAGTATGAACTCATCAATGTGCATGCTTCAACTGTTATATATGTGTGTGTGTGTGTATAGGTTTGGCAAAAAATCTACAAGATTAGTACGAGCAGCGGCTGTTAAACTCTCTCAAGAATTATTTAACATGATAGAACGACCAGAATACGCAATGGTAACCAGGTTACAAGAAGGAACTGAGTCGCAGGTACAAAATTGATGAACTTGAGATAGGAATACAGAAGATTCGATTGACTGTATTAAGAGAAAAAGAGAGAAAAGTGTGAGGAAGAAGGAAAGAGAGAGAAAGTTTATAACGATATCTTTCTTTTCTCTAATTAGATCTTCAAATGCAAATTTTCTGGATGGGATGAAGTTATAGCAGTTGACTTTACTAGAACTGCCGAATCAGTCGCGAAAACTGGGGCAGACCTTACTAAATGGGCGAAGCAACAAGAAACGAAGGTACGCGAAATAAAAAATGAAAACTATGAACGATTCGCAAAATAACGCGAGCTCCTTCCCCCTACCCGTTCTCCTACCAAACCAGTAAAATAGTTTTGTTTCGACAGGTGGATTTAGCCGCACTCTTCATGCCTAGACAACCGCCTATGTCATTTATGGAAGCTCAACAACTGATGTCGGAATGGAACGATGATTTAGAGGGAATGGAAGCCTTGGTTTTAGAAGGAAAAAAGTTTGTACGATTACCGGAAGAAGAATTAGGTCATTTTTATAGTGGTGATTGTTACGTATTTTTATGTCGTTACTGGATGGTACGTAATAATTTATGCATTCTTTAAATTGACTTTGAGCAGATTTTATCATTGATGATACGTTTTCCCATTTTAGCCATTAGATACAACAGAAAATGAAGATGGTGATGAGCAATTCGAAGAGGATTATCAGTGTACCGTATATTTCTGGCAAGGGCGAGATGCGGGAAATATGGGATGGCTGACATTTACATTTAGGTGCGCGAGGAAAATCGTCTTTTTAATTATTATTAATTGCACACAAATAATTACTATTGCAATTGAAAAGACAAAATGATTTGAACACATGAATAATACTGATAAAGTATTAATGAAAGGTATTTGCTTCCAGTTTACAGAAAAAGTTTAAATCTTTATTTGGTGAGAATTTGGAAGTAGTTAGAACTCATCAACAACAAGAAAATTTAAAGTTTCTGGCATATTTCAAACGAAAATTTATTGTTCATCATGGCAAGCGTAAACAGCCTAAAGCTTCTGGTAGTAACAAGGTTGAATTCTATCACTTAAGGAGTAATGGAAGTGCATTGTGTACCAGGCTGATACAAATACCGGCTGATTCTACGTTATTGAACTCTTCATTTTGGTAAGATTGTTAAAATAAAGGCTTTTCCTGTCTTTCTTCTGTTCCTTTTTGAAAAAATTACTTCATCTTTATTGCTTTACTTTACTAATACTTAAATATAATCATGTATATGCCTTTATCCCACAGCTACATTTTAAACGTACCATTCAATAACGACGATGAGACGGGAATAGTATACGCCTGGATTGGTTCTAAAGCAGACATCGAGGAAGCTCGTTTGATACAAGAAATCGCCGAAGAAATGTTTAATAACGTACGTTTATCATTTACAGTACTATGTTTGTTTCAACTGGTAAATCTATAATCTGATCTGTATTATCAAATGAAATTGACAGCCATGGATAAGTTTACAAGTTTTAAACGAAGGAGAAGAACCAGATAACTTTTTTTGGGTAGCTCTTGGTGGAAGAAAGCCATATGATATCGATGCAGAATACATGAATTATACGAGACTGTTCAGATGCTCGAATGAAAAGGGATATTTCACGATCAGCGAGAAATGCACCGATTTTTGTCAAGTATACGATAAATTTACTAACTTATGTTTGTGTTAGTGAGAGCGAAGTTATATATGTATATAATATATATAATAGATTTATAATCAATTAATACTGTTCCAGGATGATTTAGCGGATGACGACATTATGATACTTGATAATGGCGAACAAGTATTTTTATGGTTAGGCAGTCGATGTTCAGAGGTAGAAATTAAATTGGCATATAAATCTGCTCAGGTAAAAATGGATTGAATGAATTGTAAAAATATCCGATTTGCAAAATTCCTAAATAGGGATAAATAATTTAATTGCAATAATTTTTAGGTATACATCCAACATTTACGAGTAAAACAGCCAGACAGGCCACGTAAATTGTATTTAACAGCGAAAGGAAAAGAATCTCGAAGATTCACCAAGTGTTTTCATGGCTGGAGTTCACACAAAAGACCACCTCAATAAAATATTCAATAATATATTCCTGCTCTTATTATCCCAATAACGTTTATCAACGAACCAAATTTCGAAACGAAATTAACGAATATCAATGAAGTACTGATCATGCAAATTTATTAGGTTGTTATAAACACAAAAAGTAAATTTCTAATGTCAAGGAATATTGTAATTTTTGAAACCATTAAATATACCCAGACCTTGTTTCTTTGCATTGTGTTTATTTTGCACTCTAATGAAACAATATTTACAAAATATCTGTATGTCTGTACATCTCTGTATATACATTTTCTATATGCATTTTAAAGGAATATATTTAAACATACATGTAGATATATACAAAATCAGTTTGCCTTTCAGCAGAAATTGGTAATAAACAATACGTTACTTAAATTGCGCAAGTAAAACTCTAAGAAAATTGAAAGCATCGCGTATATTTGATTTATCGTGGCAACTATATATGTAAAACATGTGCTGCCCAAAGTTCAGACATATTACATCATCTTATATCTTTGCAGACTTCGTTGTCATAGATCTTAAAACAGAAAACAATGTATAGACATGGAAGAAGTCTATTTTCCTCACAAGCAAAGATTAAACGATAGCACTGAACGATACATGATTATGGAGGAGCAATGAGAAGCTTGCTTATGCAAAGTACATTTTAGGGATACATGCAAAAGTCTGGACCGAGGCTCGATATGAAAAACATAAAATGTAGAAATTTTAAATCTCTGCCTTAATTAATTTGCGTACCGAGAATAAATTAATCATCGTCGTCATCATCATCCGAAGGTACGAACAATTCTTTCTCTTCGAGATAGTTAGCCATCATTTTACTTAAAGTAGCTCCTATGACTAGTCCTGTCATAACACTGCAGATAACACCCAAAAAACCGAAACGTGTTCTTTTTGGTTCTGGTTGAATAGCACCTGAAGGTGTTGTTGTTCTTGACCGAGAATGTGATTTCATTTGCCCATTTATTTTCCTTAAATCGTTGACAGTTTGTATTACAACATGTGTGCGTTGCAATGCCATTCTTCTATTTTACTGATACTATATAAGCACTGAAAATAGTGGTAGAAGTGTACTATGTAAAAATAACATAATAATAATAGTAATAAGAAATAACGTAGACACGATTATTAGATAGATACAGAAAAAACGATATAGGAACGAAAAGAAAACTACACAGAAGCCTCTTGTTACGACGTTAATGTGCTTGCAAGACAAGGACAAAAGGGACTTTATGCAGCATCCTCTTTTTATTCCCATATCGCGTCCACTTACACGGTATATCTCAGTTATGATTTTGGAGGCAGCATAAATTGCAGTATTAATCCACAGATAGGAATGAAATGTATACTCGGTCCAACGAGACGAGGCAGTAACCATACAGAAAATTTTAAAATTCGAATTTCATTAGTCGGTAACCGATACATAACTGCAGCAGTACCAATTAACTTTTGTTTACGTTTACTGCCTCGTCCTGTTAGGCAGACTATAAATTAGCCTCTTCGGTATACTAACTCGCAAAAACAATTAAAAAGCTCTTAAGCATATGTATACACACGCTGTATTTTGATTAGATGTGTGTCTCGATCACGTTCGATTAAATATCAATACAGATGAATATTACTATTCGCTATTGTAAGCAACACATAGTTTAGTGAGCAATTAAACGATCAGTTCGATGTTATTACATCCGCGCACAGACGGCGCGCATGCGAATAATACTAGCTCTGACGATATAGAATCTGACGCCACTTTTATAGGGATAAATGTAAAATACCCTACACGTACATATATAGATTTATTCAGTTGCTTCTTCCTTAGCTTTTATAGATATGTAGCGATAACGTAATACATCTGTATTTACCTACTTATGGCTGTGTAGTTACTTTGATAGTTTTGCACGTTGTTGCTTATTGCATTGGGCAATCGTTGAGACATAAAATCATCAACAACAAACGTTTATGATTTTTTCTTTCTCGTTCATTTCCCTATACCGGTCATTTGAACAAAGCATTGATTTTTATTAAACGATATCGTGCAAATAATTTAGGAAGACGTGAACAAAATGTTACATGTGATTGGATTAGGTCTTGGCGATTCGACAGATATAACTGTAAAGGGTCTCGAAATTATACGAATGTGCGATCGCGTCTATTTAGAGTCGTATACGTCAATTTTGTCTACCAACTTAAAAGATTTGGTAGGTAGATTAAAGTCAAGGGTAACTCTGGTTCCTTGATTAATTGAATGTTTAACATAAATAATGATAATAGGAGACCAACGATTGCATATTTCAACAAATTAGGAACGATTTTACGGATGTTCGATACTGGAGGCAGACAGAGAATTAGTTGAGAGTAATGCAGATGAAATATTGCCGAAGGACGAGAAGGAAAATGTTGCTTTCTTGGTGGTAGGTGATCCGTTTGGTGCCACTACACATTCGGATCTAATACTACGAGCTCGGGAGAAAGATATAAAGGCAAATAAGAGAAATATTAGAAAAATTTGTTTAATAAAACTAATTTTATTAACCGATATTAAAAGCCTTTATTATTCTATGATTCAGGTAAAGATTGTTCACAATTCCTCTATTTTGACCGCAATTGGATGCTGTGGTTTGCAATTATATCGTTTTGGAGAAACTGTTTCTATCCCTTATTGGAACAACGATTGGCAACCAAATAGTTTTTATGAGAAAATTATCTCAAATAGGCAGAGAGATCTACATACATTGTGCTTATTAGATATTAAAATAAAGGAGCCTACGATAGAGAGTATTGCTAAAAAGAAAAAAGAATATATGCCATCCCAGTTTATGAGTGTCTCAGAAGCTGCTACGCAATTATTAAAAATCATAGAGGAAAAAAACGAAGAAACCAAGGAGGAACCAGGTAAGATACTAGAAAAGTATCATTTCCAAATAATCCTGCCTCTAACGAATCCATGGAAAATGAAATTTGTTGTTTTACAGTGTTGGAGGAATCAAGTCTCGTAGTGGGTTTAGCTCGTGTAGGTTGGGACAATCAACGCATCGTTGCTTGTTCTCTCGGAGAAATGGCTTCTATCGACCTAGGCCCTCCTCTCCATTCTTTAATCATTCCTGCTATCAATCTGCATCCTCTTGAATTGGAATTTATTACTCTATATAAGTGTAAATAAAAACGTTTGGCTTTGTTGAAAAAGAAAACAAGCACTATTCGTTGCTTATAGCTCTGTATCAATTTACAGCAAAATAATAAAACCGATTAATTACTTAAATATCAGATTTGGAACAGGATGATATTCTTAAGACATATAAAAAAGGTAAACGACTCGATTAGTCGTATAAATATTTTATAATATATAAAAACGTGTTGCGCGTGTAATATCGTGAAAGTAATCTGCTTTTTAGCTACATATATTCAAAATTTACATAGTGACAAATGTTAGGCTACAAATTTAAAAGATCTGACAAAGACAAAGAAATAAAGTGAAAATATATAATGCTATTGGTAACGATGCCCGAACAATTTTATGTAAGTATGTACGTATATACATACCTATGTAGAAAATAGCTCACTTAGTGCTAAGGTTATTAAGATATTTATTTATAAAAATTGTTTTGGAGAAATTTCGATAAAGTTAACACTGATCTTAAAGATAAATTCCTAACTACTTGAACTACATACATAATTGTTCGAAAGTTAATTTATGTTAAAGAAAAATAATATTCTGGCAATCTTATAGCCATGGCTACAGAACGTAGAGCGTATGTATATGCATTCGATCGATTTCGTGCATGCGTAATAAACAGGTGTACGGAGTTTACAATCATATATTCACTTTCGATACGTGAATCACGGTATCTCTGGTGTTTCTGTTTCCTTATATTTTGCATCTTCCTTAATAGTGAGCAATTTATCTTTCATCATCGGCCAATCGCAAACATTTTTATTTATTTATTGATTTTGAGGAAAAATGTAAGGGGGAGAGACGCGAACGAAAACTTGAGTGTCTTTCTGTCTTTGTATCTGTTGTGTTTTTTTGTGCAATTACATGTTTCCATAAAAAGAGTAACAGCTAACAATTACAGTACAGATACGAGGAGAACCGAGTGATACACCGAGTACGATAATGTCGGAAATAGACTACATAATAGCACCACGAATACCACGAGGTTTGGCTCCTGCGGTTGAAGGACTTGCACGAGAAATTTTGCGTCAAAGACCTCGAAACATTTACGCATTCGCGGCCCAACATTTCGCAGAATTGGTGGAATTAAGGGATAAAGAACGTACTGATGAAATCGTTCCGAGGATACTGAAACATAGATTGGTTAACGTTCGTGATGCTGAAAATCGTAACGATTATTTTCGTAGGTGTAAATACAGTAACTTGATCGAAGAAGCGATGGTAATAAGGGAAGTGAAGGAACTAACGACATCGAGAAATGCAACGAAAAAAGCTGTGGCATCGAAGAGAAAAGCAGAGGCGACGAATAAAAGTGGTTGGTCTATAAATAGGACGGTGAAAGGATTGAAGAAGCATGAAAATACAATTGGAAGAGAAGGTTGGAACAGAGAATCAAACGGTAAAGAGACGGAGAAATCAATTCTTGGTTACTCGGATCGTCGTTCACCACGATTTTCGAGTCAAGTTACTTGTCATCAATTCGTTCGATCTTCGTCCGCCGGAAATATATTCGCAAAACGTATTAAGCGTCGAGAAGTTAAAGAAAATCACGAACAATTCTATACATTTGTTTTAGATGATAAAAGTTACAAGAACGAGAAGAAAGTGACGCGACAAAAAAGTGCCGATCAAATCGAAAGAGATGGCGCGTATTTTAAGGACACTTGTACGAGCGAACATATAGACATAGACGTTGTTCCGACAGAGGCTAGAATCTGTCGAAATTTAAAGGATCAATGGAAAACTATGATCGAAGATGAGCGAAAAGAGCAGGAAAAATTGCAAGAGAAATTTGGTAATACGAAAGGAGGTGATGCCAAATTAAATTCCCGATTGGGAAAGAAGAGCGAGAGAGAATCGAAAGACAACGAAGTGGAATCGCGATCCGATTCGTCAGAGAGCAACGTAATTTTTGAGCATGCGATGAAAAAGTTGACCAACGATGGAACGATCTCGGTGGTCCTTCCATCGGTCGTTACGCGACAACCTCCTGTAAAATGTACAAGGAACAACGTGTACGAATGTGACGGGAAGGATAGCACAGGTAATTTGACATTGCCACCGATCTCGAGTGATGGATCCAAGTCGACGAAGAGGGGAAGCAATGTAATCGAATTACCCTCTTTGTTAAACGAGGTGGATGTTCTGTCGAACGAACAAACGATATGCTGTCAGGATTACGAGGATCCGACAAATTCGAATTGGAATCCTAAGGATCTGGAATCGGAGACAGAGCTTAAGCCAGCAGGAACTATCGAAGGTGCGACTTTCGATTACGATTCGAAAACAATTGAAAAAGAACGCAAAGACGAGGATTTAAAAGGTGGCAATGTGAACGTAGATACGGTCCCATGGAAATATCCTCGTGAAAGTAAGTCCGAAGGAAATGGAATTCTTGTTACGACGGGGAATACGGTGGAGGAAGGTATCGATAGACAGCAAATTCTAGGAGAAGTAGAAATTATCCGGCAATGTTTAAATTCACCACGGGAGGCGGATATCGAGGAAACCTTTAAAGACAGCTTAAACGTAACACCTGATTCGATCGATCTTCCTCATTGTCAGAGGGCAGATTCGTTGGAACATTTGGAGAACGGGAAAGAGGAAGAGGAGGATCAGGACCAGGACGAGGAGAAAAAGGAAGAGGAGGAACGATATCGACCGAACGAGCTCGAAAGGAAATTAATCGAGATAGAAGCGGTCGAGAGAAGCATCGAAAATACGTTGGTCTGTTCTCAGACTATTCCAAAAGATATCGATGACGAATTCGTAGCATCGGAGCGTTCGAATGAATTTTCGATTTTGAAAAATTTCGAACCGGAGAAACCAGACTGCGTATACGAAAGGCAACTATCGAGCGTAGGAGACGAGTGGACGAAGAAAAATCCAGATGAAAGTCAGAGTCCAACGAGCAACGAAGATGACAGAGATCGCGACGCTAATATCGAGATCGACTCGATGGAAGATGAAATGCCGATTGGAAAAAGTTTAGACCGCAACCTTGACTCTGACAACTCGGAAATTGTGCTTAACGGAAGCAATAATAGCGACGATCGAGATACGCGTGACCATTCTACGAAAGAAGGAGGAATCGATCTTTCTTGTTACGTCCTTACCGAAGGTTCCCCTAGTGAAATACCGGAAACTGTAACCACCGTAATTATACCCGATAATATCGTTGACAATGACGATGATAACGATGTTTGTAAAATTGAGCTCGAAGAGGGTACGAACGACGAGATTTGCGTCCTTTTTAACGAGCCGATCCCATCTTGGAATATCGAAAGAAAGCTGATAAAGCACGGGATTGGAGAAGAATATTGCCAAGACAAGAATCCATTTGGAGAATATATACATCCAGAAAGTGCTGTCGACTATACAACGAACATCGATGCTCATACTTTACGTGGTATAAAAAATGCTGCCAATCGAACGTCTGTTTATCAAGAAGATCTTGGAAATATCAAAGAGGAGGAAGAAAATGATAGGGGCAAATTTTCTAACGTCGACGTCCAGCGTAGCATCGACGATCGTATCAGCGTTTCTACGGAAAAGTCGGCCGAATCGATGGAAAATAGAAATAGTACCGAAGAATGCGAAGCAAAATTTGCAGGTTCCAGTCAAGAAGAGGATCAAGAACGAAATAGTATGGACGATAAGGACGATGCACGATCGAAAGATCTCTCTAAAGAAACTGCAAGGAAAAGAAGAGAAGAGGAAAGCGAAACGTTCGATGATCGTTCGAGTGATTTTTCTTTGTCGTTTGAACAAGTTGGAGCTGGACCAAAAGTACCTGAATTAAATCTGGATTCGTTACAAGACATAACGATATCGTCGACGATTGAAAAGGGCAATTCGAAAAATCTTAATAATCAGTCGGAAGAAGAAAATGATAACGTTACTTCTTGCGAAGGTGAAAACGTTTCATTATCCTCCTACGATACTTTAGCTTCTGAAGAAAAAGTAGACACCGGTGAAGCTTTGTCCTCGGAAAACGATCGACTAAAAGTTTTTATCGAGCCGGCAGGTCAACAAACCAAAATTGAAAGCGAGACCGAAAGGTATTCAAAGGAAGAGTTTGAAGGTAAGGAATGTACTAATAACACGAGTTGCTCGCTTGTTCGTAACAAAGATGAAAAACAGTCTCTTCGCGTGGAAGAAGAAATTGCACGGGAATTAATACAGAATTTCATTATCGATAATACCGAGGTAGCTGAAAGAGACGCCGAAACGATTCCTTTCGAAGTGGACGATTTGATGGCCTCGTCATCTTCTAAACACCAGACGAATGACACGAATCAAATCGACGACTTTATCATTAAATTTCATCCATCTATAGAAGAATTAACACCTGAAGCAATAATCGAAGAATCTTCTCGTCGAGAAAAGGTCGACGATGACGATAATCAAGCAGGCGATGAGAACGAAGAAGACGAAAGTAGAAGCGGAGGAAGTGGAGAAACAGCAAGAGAAGACGAAGGAGGAAAAGAAGCAAGTATTTTGCTACCATATCTTCGTTTTTCTTTTCTTTCTATTCTAAAATATGTAGAAAGATATTTTACGCACCTTTTATGATACTAGAAAGAATTTTGTTCTTTTAAAATTGTTAAGGAAATTCGAGGATTTGGAAATACAAATAGTTGGTTATATTTCACACACAATAGCTATACATCTGTATTACACTCTGAAGAACGTCTTGCACGCACGCTTGTCGCCAACCGACTATGCTAGATTCTTCTAACATCTGGCAACAGTCTTTTGTCTCCACTAAGCCTTGACGCCCTCTGACCCTTACACATACATTCTCATGTACAGTGTAAATGTATCACTTCCCTAACAAAAATCAAAATTTTTCAAAGCCATTCTTTGAGGTAATTAACCAATATATTTTATGGATCGAGATTTGCGTCTACAATGTACATTGCACGTATGTATACCCTATATTACATGTATACATACGTATTCTTGTGTAGATGCATCTATTTTTGTTTCATTTTTGAACAAGTAAGGGGTCTTCCAATTCGTACAATACATTTTTAAAGATAATAAAAAACCTAAGCTAATTACAATAATAATCTTGACAAGGTTGCTTTTCTTACCCCACTTTAGGATCAAGTAGAAACGACATCTTTGGAAAATCAAGGAAACAGGGGCAAACCAATCGCCAATTTGTGGCACACCGGAGAATTCCACGATTCCTTACCATTACCTTTCGTTGAAATTTCAAAAAGTCCTTCCGCCATGAACGTTTACGATTTAAAGCCTGTAAACCGTGAAAAAACGGATGATCGCTTTACTTCTGCAACTGATCTGTATGCAGAAGATCGAGGATGTAAAGGAATCGGTCGCAACATACCTTTTTTCGGTTATAAGTTTTCTCCGACCACTGCCCCTCGTGGTATCGATATCTTCGAAAATTTGAGTTTATTTATTAACGAATCGAATTGGAGTAAATTATCTTTAAACGCTTCGTCTCCTATCGTTATTCACAGCAAACGCGTGATGGAGCAAGTTCGTACAACGGACAAAGACAAGAGTGATCCACTCGTCGAAACGAGTTCAAATTCTGATGCTGACGATCTTCGTGAGCCATTAGCGCTCGATAATACACCACGACCTATCGTTATAGAGGAAATTTCGGATATCGACGAAAGAGAAGAGCAAACGTTATCGCTCTACGAAGCAGATACGAAGTTAGCGAAAGAAATAAGTCCGTTTTCTTCCGAACGATACAACGACTCCAATAACGTTGAAGATAAAAATAAAGGAACACATGGTACGTCATCGTCGACTCGTGAAACGACAAATCGGCTTATCGAAAGCGATGATTTACTTCTAGATGCATATACCGATTCTACCAACCATCAAGATATCGATCAGATCGTAGGAAACGCGGAAGAAGAAAGAACAAATAAAGAATAAGAATGAATTACATATACGGATATACCGTATCGAGAGAAAATCATATTGTTAACTCGATTTCGTGAAAACGAGCAGTTTCGATATAAAAGAATTTGAAAAGCACGACCGATATTGCAATCATAATGTTAATCCAGAAGTTTCAGTTTCTTGTTATTAACGCGATCCTTAATCGAAACTAAAACAATCAAAAGTAGACAATTAGGTATAAATCATTTCTACAGGTCCTTTTTCCGCGCACATTAGTGTACCTCCACATAGATACACAACTCACACGGAAACAGCATATTAAATCAATAATGGACAAAATACAGACAGCAAGGAGACAAATGCATTGGCTGACAAGTCGAAAATCCGAATTAAGCATAGAAAATAAATGAAAAATATACAAAACGGTCATAAAACCAAACTGGACGTACGGAATACCATTATGGGGAACAGCAGCAATGAGCCATATAAGCAAAATAGAGACAATGCAAGCTAAAATTCTTAACACGATGGTAAACGTCCCATGGTACGTTAGAGACGAGGACATTCGGAAAGACCTGCGAGTACCAACGGTCAAGGAGAAGATTAGCAGATGCGCAAGAAGGTACAGAGAAAGAATAGCAACGCACCCGAACCGGCTGGCAGCGGAAACGATCAACGAAGCGGAAACGATCAACGCATCAAACATAGAAAGAAGACTAAAAAGCAAACATCCAACAGATCTCATAAAAGATATAACCTAACAAACACGAAGATGGTACCCCGCTGGGGTAGCCACCCACATGATAATCAAACAGCTAAAAAATTCTACCAAATGTCCAAATTGGACAAATTGTGAATGTGAAATATTAAATAAAAAAAAAAAATTAGTGTACCTATTTGCTACAAAAGAGAGAGAGAGAGAAGAAGAAACGTACACTATACGCTATACTACTATATGTACGTCGTATACTGTATGCTGTTTAAGTCGGAAGTCAGGAGTCAATTAATGTAAAACGAGGCACATGCGCAAATACGAGTTCGCTAAAAGAGCGTGGGACTCTGCGGCAATTCGCTACATGCTTATAGTCCTGATCGGGAATTTGCGTCTGAACGATTTCGTTCTATTTCAAAAGAGACGTTGCTGTATGTTGCCACGTACTATGCCTTACACCAAAAATCTGTTCGATGCGAATTTCGACTAAGTTAATATACATATCGTACCACAGGAAACATATATTAAAATTGTGCACGCGGATCTTCTAAAGATAACTACCAAAGAATAGGATAGAACGGATAGACGTGTAAATCGATCGGTGGATTAAAAAGAAGAGGATGCGACAGAAGACTGCAACTGAAATCCAAGCGGATTGAAAGTTTGTTAAAATAATACGAAAAACATATCGGTTACGTTCTTGTATTTTCTTAACCTTTACGCTCCTTCTATCTTCGTGGTTCCTCGTATTTCTTTTGTGAAAAGCAAAAACATCGCTTTTACAGTTTTATTTCGTCACATATTCCTGCTCTTTCTTAGAGGAAATTCCTGTACAGGAATTATAATAATAATAATAATAAATAATACTCGAAATTATGCGTTCTTTCTTGTTTCATCCTATTCCTTTGTATATCTGTTTTCTTGCGCAAATCTGTAATAAATATAGAAATGATTGCACAATGGAAATAAGCGAATCAGTATAGTACAATATTATAAAAGGTTCTTTTCCAAATTTAAGACATCGCCGAAGTTTTAGTCGCGGTCTTTGCCGAATCTATCGAGATACGACGATACGTCTACCTGTTCCATTATCGTATTTATGTCTGGATACGTACCATCGAGATCGAGACAAGAGTGAACGGTACGTAGCGAATGTGGATCCGTAAGTATCAAGGAACAATCGAAATAGCATCAGCGATGTTGTATGAACGATGTTGGCAACGACATTGACACTATATGCTATTTTACGAGGTATGAAAATATTTGATCGACTGCTAGTTACCGTTTAACCGTTTAACAGTAATGTCTTAATTCGCACGAATATCCTCGATAGTGAGATATCGTCGGTAATATTGACAGTGACAGCACTGCATTTTCTGGTACTTGATACTCGTACCGCGGATGCCAATCTCGAAGGTACGCAAAAATAAACTGGTTATACATACGCGTTTACTGCTTTTGCGATGAAACTGCTTGGATGTGGACTTGGAAAGTTCTTGTCGCGCCGTTTTTGGACATCGTTTTCTATACGTGTGATATGTTTCGCGTTATTAACACGTTGAATGTCACGCTAGTTTTACGGAGATCGCCCGTGGCGCCACGATGAATTTTTTATTATGCGGTACGTATAACGTTGAAATATTACCTACAAGAGATATGTTATGGCGTATAATCATCGTTAATGAATTTATCTTACCGAGGTCACCGGTGACCCCCGTGGCGCTCAAGTGCTATTTCGTGTGATTTACTTATTTTTTACTATTATCAGGTATCTCGTATTGTTTCTTCGCGTTGCTAAACAATTGTCTACGTTGCTACGTTCCGGGACTTACCATAAAACCATAAATCATTCCTCGGTCATACTTATTCTGACTCGCGATAATCCTAAAGAACCGTTATTAAGATTTAGCGTTTGTTACTTTACTGCAAAGACCCTTAATTGCCTTCGAACATCTTTCAAGTCGAAACTTTCCCTAGGGTTATTGTTCATTAAGATAAACACGGAAAACGTAGGGTTTTCCATGTTCGACAGCCACTGGTCAGGGACACACATAATAGATTTATGTTTTACGTATAAGTAAACAAAACGAAATAAATCATTGCGTTTGCACGGTCAAGCAGACTATTCTTTTTCTCTTGCAATTGGTAAATCAGCGGCAGAGGGGAAGGAAACGATGAGCAATAGTAGAAAACGTTAATAAGACGCGAAAAGATCGATAGAAAGTCGGGAAAGTATTAGGAAATTAAACGTTACGTACCAAGTACTTATCGACGAGATTGAATGATCCGTTTCATTTTTATTTACGAAATGTAAGATACGCGGTAATGATACATCGACGAGACAATTAGTATTTTTTACACAGCGTCTGATATAAAAATATTTTGTTCAAAATCAAAGTGTTTTATCGTTCGTAATATCTTAACGTTCTTGCGTGTTTCAACGGTAGCCATATGGCACATAAATTTATTAATAAAATATATTTATGAAAAGTAAAAACGAATGCATCTAATACTATATCTTTCTTCCTTTCATCCTTCTTCTTTCACATTCCGCAAAATTGAAAATATAGTACCTACTTAACAGTATCGTCTTAATCGTCAGGGATAATGTACAATGTATAACGTACACGCATTGATCTACAGACCAATTGAACTTGCAGTTTCAAGGTATTTGAATCGTTATTTCTTTTTTTTTTTTTTACGCGTGACGTAAATAATCAGACTAGAGAAAAATCAAGAAAAGAGAGCAAAGCGAATAATATTACAGTAATCTTGCTTTCGATATTTCACTCCCTATTTCTCCTACATATTTCCTCTCTCTCTCTCTCCTTCTCTCGTTCGCATCTTCTTCACCTTTCATTTTACACCTCCGTAACGCGTTCATTTCTCCTTCCCATTTCCACCCTTTGTTGACTGCATATAAGATATACATATGTAGATGCAACTAATCATCGCGTTTATCGCTTTCAATTATCGTTAAAATTAGATCTGTCCAATTGGATTCGAACTGTCGCTAAAGGCCGATCGTAGTTATCGTTACAGCGGTTTATCATTCGACGCGCGTGTTTAAGGGTAAATGAAATATTGGCGAAGTATAACCATCGTGCGTTTAACTTAACGTTAACCACCACCCGGTTGAGTCGTCGTACGTTTACAGAATTAGAAATATTTCAGGTGTTCGCTTCGATAGGTAAGTGTAAGTGACCGTCCGATTCACGATAAATGATCATCGATCATATCGATTTACATGATAGCAGGCCGCCTTACAGGTACGTTAAAATCACGCCAACAAGGATCTTTAATTTTGGAACATTTTAACTTTTCCGAACTACAACCGAAGCATTGGTTACATATACAGCTCATGCCTTCGGCGCAAATACCAAGCCGTTCTCCTCGTCCTCCGCAAGGTTCATCGGGTCCCTGGAAAAGAGAGTACGATTCTTATCGTAACTAACGGTTCGATCGTTTCTGTTAAACGCGATTTATTAACAGATTTATTAACAAACGGCCGATTCAAGCACTTGCCTTTGCGCATTGCGGAACCCCGCAAGCATTCGATATTACAACACCATATTCGCATTTGTGGCAAAAGTCGCCGCATCCTGAGCAAAGGGCCATCTCTTGTTTTTGTCTTACCGAAGGATAACCGGAACATTTATCGTACCTAGACGAATCAAGCGTTCTATTATTGCGTATAACGATATTGTGCATTGAACGTACTGTAATTTGCACAGTAATAATTTGAGTCGTTCCAGCATCTTTCATTTCGTACATATATGTACTCTCATCTACGAATAGCTAAATATCTCGTTCGTGCGTAAGCAAGCGCATGAGTAATGGCAAAGATATAAATACATAAACGAGTATATAAGTACATAGACGAGTGTTTTCTAAATAAATTAAAAAAAAAAAAAAAAAAGAGAGAGAGAAATCAGTTCGGGTAGAAGAGAATTGTAGGTTTGAAGTTTCTTACAGAAGAACGATGGCAAGCAGCACGGCTATGCGGATAGTTTGCGCGGCAAGCATCTCGCCTCGTAGATCTGAAACAAAATTTAAAGAAAATTCGATCAATGTCGCTGAAGTAGAATCGATTAAAACGTTTACGTAACGATCAGAGATAAAATCGATGCTTTAAAACTGATTTAAAGAATAACATTTGTAAATCGTGTAAAACACGTACGCATTTGAAAGAGCATGTAGACGTTTAGAAACGAGGAAACTTTTGCCAAATTTTGTTTCGAACTTTATCTCTTTTCGTTATTATCTGTCCGCTTGGAACAATACAGTACACGATCGTCGATCTATCGTTAATAAAAACGAGGTAACAGAAAATCCAACTTTTTGACCGTAACTTTTGTTAAGTTCCATCGTTGTTCTGTTTCTGCTTGTACGAAATTAGTGTGAAATACTTGATTTTTACGATATCGTTTTATTAAATTATTAAATATCTATAATCGAGCCATTTAAGAAATAATTCCAAAGTACCTTACCAAGATGAACCTACGATACATACATACGTATGATGGTAAATCAAACTTTGTCTTCTCCCTTTTTTTCTCTCAAGCGTGGCGAAAAGAAAGACGAACGATCGAATTGCCGATAATGAAAACAGTCGAAGCAACTTTGCCTTGTCGGAATTTTCCTTTCGTTTCGTTAATTGAACCGCTTGAAATACCAAAACTCAATCGTTCAACTTTTGAATCGAACAAAACTTGACGAGATAATGCTGTAATAATAATACTTTCTCGTTTCTTCGATGAAGATTATACGGAGAAAGAGTCATACGGGCTTTAACGATACGCGGACAAATCCATCTGTAACTATACTTAACGTCATGTTCGTTTTTGTTGCAAAGTGGTTCGTTCGCCACCATTTTAAGCCGAAACCCCTTCGTTTGCTACTCGCGCCTGCCAAATGCCTGTACGTACGAGTTAAGCACATGGTGGAGCTTGAACATCGAACAAATGACTTTTATCGAATAAACGTTAACTTCGTCAGTTTTTGGTAACAAAGTGGAAAAATCAATAATCAACATAGAAATCACGTGGTTATTAACAGCGAGAAATAAAAAAGATAGAAAATTATTTCGATATACATGCATATACCCACCAATAATTTGATGTGCCGTCTTTTTAGTTAAATGTTAAACGATAATTTGTTGTTTTCGCGGATTTTATAAAATACACGTAAATACCTATGGAATATCGTTCGAAGACCAACTGATTGGAAAATAAAGCTACAGGATTATTCAAAGCGGATTTTTCAAACGTCTTTTAGCGTGATTCGTCTAACTATATTCGTCTAACTTATTCTACGTAAACTAATTAACTTATTTTATCTTAGTTTATCTCGCGGCATTCTATTTTACTTTATTCTGGTTTGCTTAATTTTAGTTTCATTTAGTTGCGTCAACGACATTTTTATAACAAGAGTTATTCACAAGCTGAAAGTTAATTGCGAACATGTAATATTCGTATTAAATTCGGTTTCGCGAAATTTATTAGAGACGTAGCAGAAATTTCTTTTACACTTGCGATTGCCTTCGGATACAGTAGTCGTTTCGTTTAATACCTCGTTGTGCCGCTATTCTGGCTTTTCCCTTTTCCTAACTCGCTCTCGTTTACGCGCTTTTTTCGTTCCTTCTGTTCCACTGTTTTCTTTCCTTTTTTTTTCTCATATTAAATATGATTATAATTTGCCAGCGATATGACAGAAAAAATAAAATAAAAGAAAACTACACGGGAATAAAATAAATGAACAAAGTGAATGTAAAGAACGTATTTACATATGCAACGACGAACGGGTGATCGTTAGGAAAAGCATACACTGCGCTTACAATTAATGCTGACCCTAAGATATTCTTCCAAGTGTTTCTAGTTGCGTAAGATTAAATAACAATGACGATTCTCTCTTTAGCAGAATAAGAAAATGTGATAACGTGAAGACACGAATATGCGAAGACGGAAAGACGTTGAATGTGCCATTGAAGCCAAGTGCGCTTTGTTTTATAGGGACGCGAAGAAAGGGCAAGAAAAGGAAGGGGGGAAAGAAGGCACACAGCCGTTCATTTAACAGTCGATGTATGATGTATCTATTATCGTTTCGCCCCAAGGGATGATCTAAGTTGTCAAACGAAATCCTTGCCTCTCGTCCTAATTATCCACCGTGTCGTGAATACCCTTCTAGACACGTCTTCCCCTATTTGCAAAGATTCCCTTGACGAACATATCTATTAATATGTAAATTTCTTGGTTCAGCGTTATGAAAAACAAAGCCGGTCATTCACTGACACGTTATTTGCACTTGTCACGCTGCGCTAATAAACCAATTACCGAATAGTCAATCAGAATTTGACATTTTATCGACACGAAACGTTTATTATGAAACGCCCGTATTAGAACACTAGGAGATTAAACGTTATGTTGCCTAGTTGGAATTTCAAAGTTTATAGACAAACGAGAGCGAAACTAACGATAAATAATCAACGACAGATCCGTATTTTCAATTACGTATGTAATAATAACACGATTACTTTCTTTGCATAAAGGTATCGCTATGATGATCTGGCATCGGTTAAACGCACTCCTGGCACGATTGTACGATCCGATCGATCGAATAGAGAACCTTTTCCTTAAGATGAAGAATATCTCTATGATGACGAATCAAATAATATTCCTAATGCTGGCTGATCGTATTTTTATAAGAGAACCGAAAATCACGTGTCTTTACACATTGATGTTTTACAACGTTGTTACTTATAGCATTAGCTATATCAAGGAATTGATCGAAAAGGAAGATTGGTCGCTCTATGTGACTGTCACAGAAAGATCCAAAATTAAACATTTAGCTATGTCCGCTACCAAAATAGTGTTTGAATGGACTAAAGCCGTCACCTTTATCGTAACATTAACATTCATGCTTCTTGTCTTTGGCTTGGAGCAAGGTCTTGAGCATTACAAGTGAGTAACAGTTACTACATCGTATAGTAATCGAAGGAAAAATGTAGGGAAAAAAGGAAAATGATAGAACGCATTAAGCATCAAGAATATATTAATTCGATGAAACTGTACATATTGTGCGCGTGTGTGTATCGCGCGCACGTGTGTATATAAGTATATGTATATCTATATATGTATGTATATATGTATTGCTATTGTAGACCATCGATGAATTACACGATGATAACGTGGATCTATTATTTGGCAACGGAAAAAGTCTTCGTTGAGATGTTTCCGCCGATCTTGAAGTTTCTTCGTTTCGACACTTTTGAAAATCTTGAAGAGCTTTACGCTCCAGTGATATTGAAATCATTTACTATTAGCGTTTCTGCGTCTCTTATTGTAATACTTTTGCCACTAGCATCCTACAAACTTTTATTCGTCGCTGCTTATTCCAACGTTTATTTAAGATTAAAAGATCTATTACAAATATCCGCCCCTGCGTTAAATCTTGAACGTGAAATATTAAATCGTTATAGAAAAGCAACGCCTAAAGAAATTAAACAATTTGACGATGTGTGCCCTGTTTGCCTTTGCGATATGATCAGTGCGAGAATAACACCTTGTTACCACCTTTTTCATGCAAGTTGTTTACGTCGGTGTCTCAAGACCAACAATACCTGTCCCATGTGCAAAAGAGAATTAACATTTGGATCGGTATCAACTCAATAGTAAACGTAACCGTCATAAATATTATCGTCATGATTCTATCGATAAAATCGACATATTCCGTATGACAATTCCACTCTGATTAAATACCTCATCCACTCGATCGATTAACCTTTGATAATATTGGAAATACTCTAAATCGCTTGATATTCGTATAAATTAAATATTGATAAAAAACAAAGTTATTGCATTCATGTCCGTTTATGAACATTGATAAAACAGATATTCTCGTCGTATAATTGTACATAAAATAATAAATGATCTAATGTATTAACAGGACTGCAAATTTATATTCTATTTGAATTACAAATTGATTTTTCTGTCAAATGTATTATTTCGTTTGCCAATCGATAAATCGAAAATAATAAAAACAACGAAAATTAACGAGAATTATATTCTCATATCGCAGTTTTTTGAAACAGCCTTACTTTCCTTGCGCTCTACGATCCTTTATTCGAAATATTTCTCATTATATAGCTATTCCCCTGCATATTTAACCGTGGTTTCTATATATTCTCCGTCAGGACTGTCAAAATCTTTTATCGGTGGAGTATATACCGGTCCTGTTACGCTATATGGTACGAACGAATCATCAAACTGAAACAGAATGTGTTTCAAAATTTATTCTATATCTCTACTGTGTTTTATTAGATGGTAAAATACAAACGTACGATATTTAATTTATTTTTTAATATAATATCATATACTTACTTCGACTGCTTTTTTGTAAAGTTGCTTCGAGACAGCTTTTAATTCTTTCAATGCTATTTCTTGCGATACCATGATAGATTTCATAACTTTTACATCCTTCAACCATTGATCATTTTTATAGCGGGACCATTTCCTCTCTAATAATTTTCTCCTTTCTATTTGTTCTTCCGATAATGATACTGGCAAATGACAAGTTCTTTTCCTAAGAAATATTTGTTTTCGAGTAAGTACTATGTTAAGAAGAAAAATTTGTTTCCTATACATAACATATTCTATCATTATATAAAGCGTACTCCTTTTGCAATTGCTGAAATAATATATCAATTTCAAAGATCGGTTTCAAATGGTTTGCATGTTTTTCTAACTGACGGATTTTTTTCTGTAGTTTCCTCTTCTTTCTTTCTTCTCTAGCTCTAATGATACTAGGATCGAGTCTTTTCCTCTTTTTAAGTGGTTCTCCTCTGAAATAAACGTAATATGATAATAAATTTGTTTATTAAAAAGAAAAGAAATTTAAAAATACTTACAAGAGAATTTCAGTCGCTCGAAATTGTAATGGATGTATATATATGGAGATATTGCGCAAATTGCTAACTGAATGCAAAGAGGACCTGCATCGGTAAATCTTTATGAATAAAATGAATAAAAATATACAAAAATAATTGTTTACTCAACAATGAATACCTAAAAACGGCATTTGCTAAATTTAATACACCAATCATTTTAATACACTATAATTATTTCGAGCTTTAGTCTGTGTTAGTCTGTGCTTTGTTATCTCGAGTTACTTTGCAGCACCACGTATATAACCTCTTAAACGCTTGCGATTTTCATACGGGCTAAAATGAGATATGTAGCTGTTATAAAATCATAAATTTAAACAGTTGTTGAAAAAATGAATGTTGAAAAAATTATTATGAATAAATTAATAATGACAATAAATAACTATTAATAATATCGTGTTAACAACGATGGTAACTCTGTCCAAGTAGACATACGAACGAGATAATTAACATACATGTAAGTATCTACATAGGTGTATGTAATCATTACTACATCATGAAACAAAATTGATAGAAATTTCTCCAGATTTTCTTTATTATTAATATGTACACAGTATTTATGGATGCTGAATACTCGAAAAAGTTATATTATTCGGAAGGAACTAAAAGTTAGAGTCTTTGTTCAAAAGCGTGATTAGAATTACATAGTTACTACGGTTCATGAAAAACCATAAAATGTGCACGTTAAATGAATCTGAATACGATACCTTTGAAGTAGAAGAAATAGCGGAAAACGCGTGAGTATTATGTTATATGTGAATTTCATATAATTTTATGCAAATGTTTCTTTATTTCATAATTTTTTTATTGATATGATCTTTATCTTTTTTATAGGAACACTTCTTTCCCTATTAATACCACAGAAACGCATAATGCTACGCCTTTTTGTAAAAAGTGTGGTAGTCAAGAGGTCCAAGTCTTTTCCAAGAATAGGAATGAATACTGTAAAGTATGTTTTTTAAATATATTAAAACATAAATTTAGAGCAACGCTAGGTAAATCCAAGTCTATACACCCGAATGACTCGATACTCGTTGCTCATTCAGGGAAAGCAAATTCAACCGCACTTTTACATCTTATTATGATTGACACGAATGAATTAATTTCCAAAAAGTTGCGACCATCGTTTAAAGTTCTTTATATAGATGGTATGTATTCCTGCTATTTCAAATACTCTACTATTCTGTTGCTAGATTTGAAAAAGAAAAAGAAAACCAAGCGTATGCTTTTTATTTTATATTTTATATCCTTTATTCTATGTATACAGATGGTATGGTGAAAGGACGCTCGATCGAGGAAAGAAAATCTATTCGAGATGCGTTAGCTAATGAAGCTAAGAGTTTGCAATTAACTACGTACATTTTACCTTTGTCAAAATGTACAAGCGATAGTATTTCTAAAGAAATGCAACTAGTAAATGATCCATCAATGAGCATGACAAGCGATGAGGATACAATGATACAAGAAATGTTTGATAATTTGGAAAATGATACAGCCAGAGATGAATTATTACAGCAATTAAGACGTAAATTACTTACATCCGCAGCTGGTGAACTTAATTGTAATAAAATTTTCATTGCCGATATATCTTTTGATCTTGCGATAAAAGTTCTTGGCGATGTATCGACTGGAAGAGGTTCCCAGTTGCCTTTTAACGTCGCTTTCTCGGACACAAGACACACGAATGTAACATTACTTCGACCACTCAGAGGTTTTACACAAAATGACATAACTAACTATTTGGGCTGTTACAATCTACATCCAATTTTTAGTTCTGACAAATATAATTTCTCTTTCCCTATATCTATACGGAATGTCACAAGAAATTTTGTCCGTAAATTGGATTCTGAATTTTATGGCACTGTATCCACGATATATCGTACCAGTGAAAAATTAGCTACAAGAATAGAGCAATGTAATAATGAGAACAATGATACAAAGGAGGATAATAACATCTGTATACTTTGCGAATTAACTTTAGACTCGTGTTATTTACCAAAAGAACAACTATCGGTCGTACAAGCGAAATTGTTTTCTAAATTAATTTCTACAATTACAGATACCTCATTAAGTAATACTATGAATTCGTTAAATATTTGCGAACAATCAGACAATGAGCAAATTGAAAGCTTAAATGCTTTAAGACAAAAAAAATGTCAGTGTCAAAGTGACATTCACAAGTCTTTTCTAAGACAATCGACAATTGAAAAGTATCTATGCTATGGTTGTAGACTAATTTTCTTAAACTCAAAACAAATGGATAATATTTTGCCTAATTTTATTTTTGATGCAGTTCAAAAAAGATTGCAAGTTGCACGTTTACGAGAAGAGATAAGAGATTTTTTATTGTAATTGGTGGATAAAAAAAATATTTATTAATATTAAGAAATACTTTACATACTAGATAGAGGAACACGATTAAACGCAACATTTTACTTCTAAACATTCATAACAGAGTAACTTTTGTAAAAGAGATATTTCGAATAACTGTTAACTTTATGGAAATGGTATAATAAAATACAATATTTATCATATTTTGTATTTCTTATAGCTTTCTGATATCTCAAATTTTATCAAATTTATTATTTTTCTATCCGCACTTCGTACGGATCTCACGTTTCCCACACGTCGCCGGCATCAATAAAAAATATTCTTTCCTTGCATAGTGTCTCTTCACTCTTTACCGCTATAAACAATTGCATGATGATGGAGACTGCTTGGCCTATCGACTGGAGAATATATTCAATTACTAAATAATAAATGTATATGTATATGTGTAAATGAATGAAACTAAAATAATTGTAATAATTTTTATAAACATCGTAACAGTAACAATAAGCTATAGTGCAATATACGAATAAAAGATGAATCACGAAGCGTGATCAGCTTAGATTATTTTATTGTTAGTGGGCTGATCGAAAGATTTGTCTTATATAATACGGTTCAAAGAGAACTTTAACAAAAGTTATTTATAATATATACACATGTATAATGGAAAATAATCTTAATTGTTGAATAAGTTAATTTCATCTCATTATTATAACTTATAATAGATGGCGATAGTAGCGAAATTATCTGGCTGTACTGGCACGTTACCTCATTACACAACAAAGTATTCAAGGAAGTAACTCTTGAATTATTTGAAAGTGCAACGATTTGTTTGAGTAGAATTTATTTATTATATACGCATATTTTGTGGGGTAATATATTATCTTATCAATAACACGTACTTATATTAGGATGTAAAAACAAATAAGATAAAAAAGGATCAATACAGAGGTTATATTAATAAAAGTGCAAAGTATCTATTTCGATGTAGTAATCATCTCAGTTATTTTCTATATGTCATCCCGTAGTAAAATATTAATAATGGTATTTAATAATTTATATTATTGTAATTTTAGAACCATGGGTGAAAGTAATGTTAATACCTTGCGGGAGTTGCGACGTAAATACTATACCTATTCTGATCCTTTGATATATTCTTCGTTGACTAGCGCTCTGTCAGTGAATTTGCATAATCAGCATGAAATTAAATGCAGAAATTTTGAGTTTCATTTAGCCGAATGTATCGAAGCATATGGATTTTATAAAGGAATAGAGAAATGCGAACCAGTACTTCGTGATTTTTACGAATGCATGACCCAAGACAAACGCAGGAGTAGATTTGAAATATTATGTGGAGAATTTCATCGTCAGGTCAAAGCTGGAGAAAGAAATTATGAGAAAGTACCATTTATTGCTTTCTTTTAGAATTTATGTTAAAATGTGAATATGTATATGTAAACGTCAACAGCAACTTAGGTAGTCAACAGAACATCGAATAAGTGAAATGTTTGTTCAACATCAAACTGGATAAATGATTAATAATAACAAATTAGAAGGAAGTATAATCTATTTTTCTATTCTTCTTCCTGTCCATTATATCCATTTCCATATTATTGTTTCATGACTTGCGTTTTTTCATTTAGTCAGGATTTAGCAAATTGTGTTGTTAAGTAAACTGTTTTGTGATTTAATGCAAACGAGCGTAAAAACAATCGCAAAGCAATTCAACTGTCCTGTTATATTCGTTATTTCTTTTCTTTCTTCTTTGATAAGCTAGTGAAAACTTAAAAATGCATAAATGGTTCTAGTAATATTAAATAAAAAAGAAAAGATTATATTAAATAAAAGATACAATTTAGTCATATAACAGAAAAGTTGGAAGAGAGCAAGGTTAAAGTTAAAGATAATTGTAATCTATTTACATATTTGAAATTAGTGAATGAAAAGATGCGTATAAAATTAAATGGTATATAGATGTTTTGGGTAGGACGTCACTAGATGGCAGGAAAATGTTGAAAGAGAATGGATGAATGTGGGTATAACGTGCAAAGGGTCTTGGCGGGTAGATGGGTAGACGGGTAGACGGGTAGACGGGCAGGCGGGCAGACGGGTATGCGAACGAACAGAGAAAGATACGTAAGCGGGACGGTAGGTTGCCGACTTGTTAGGCCGGAAGGCGGGCGCACCTGTCTGTCATCAGCGCCGACTGTCAATCTTACTGACGCTGGCGCACACGCTGCGAGAACCCGCCGCATTCGTAGTGTTTATCTGTCAGAGAGAACGAGAAATTAGTCCTAACGGGAAGTAATTCGATCAGAAAAGGACGCTGTGATCGAAAGAAACATAGGGAAACTACAGAGAGATAGACCGGTGAGTTGTCGAACGACAGATCAGTTGGTCGAAGAAGAAAACGTGAGAGGGAAAGAAACCGTGAGACACATCGTGTGTTAACTGTTCAACGGTATGGACATGGCATATCTTTTAGTGTTGTTTGTCATTCATCATTCGTGTATTGAAACTCGATGACCGGCAAAAATCGAGTTAGCTCGTGTTGCGCGATCATGCAATATTTTTATCGTGTTAGTGTACGCGTCCCCACGAATTGTTGGTTAGACATTGTACATTTTTTTCCCTAATTTATTCGTTTAATTTGGGTATTTTGTTAAGAAGTGTGACATGACTTCTAGTCGTATTTAAAGAGTGTATTTCTTTTTTCTTACCATGCTGTTTCTTTCTCTATTTAACAGCTGATCGAGTATCGAATTAAGCCAACCACGAGGACATTGCTAGACCGCGTGTACATTGCGTCCATCTCAATTTTTTCATTATGGATCATCGTGTTGGTGAGTATAAATCAATCCATTAATTGCTAGGTTCGTGATATAATCAGTCAGTACCGAATCCATAATTTTGTTAAACATTATTAGTTGGTCTCGAATAAAATTCATTATTCGTATTATGTTGAAAATTTCGATTACGAGACGCCATCATTTACGATACTATATAACGCGTGGCTACCGAGCTAGCATGCAGTCAGCAAGCCAGCTAGCTAGTTAGGCACGTGGTGGCGCGCCACGGCGCGGACTTCGTTACTTCCACGGGGCTCACCGGCCTTACCCCACGGAATCCGCTCTTCGTTATAATTACCAACTGTCATTCTGCTTTTTCCGTCGTGCGTCGTGCCTTCCATGCTTGCCTGCCTGTCTGAAGTGTCTGACTATTCGCTCGCTTTGCGTGCACGCGCACCTATAGTACGTATACGAATATGTTTACGTGCTTGCTCCTTTTGATCGCTGATTGCTTGAGCTTTTTTATGCCTTTACATTTTCAATATGATCTATAACTGCTTTCGTCACAAGTTTCCATACACATACATGACGAAACTCGTGTAACTCGTTCAACATTATACAATTAAACGAATAAATATATAATATAGGAACATTTCTTTCAAACAACTTTTATATCAAATAATATTTCATATTTAATTAAACGAGATTCAATTGCAATTTGTTTACAATTTGTGGTTCAAATTGTAGTATTTCAATTTAAGATTATAAACCTTGATAATTATATGTATATATATATACGTGTATACATGTATGCACATGGTATATATACGCGCGCCATGTGGTCGTGTGTAAAGTGAGTTTATAGTATATGGATGATTAATATGTACATATGTATTTTATTCAGTCTGAAGCCTATATTAACTTGTCTCTAGTCTTATTATATATAAATATCTTTTTTAGAAATTTAGTGAAATTTTATACCTATTATCTTAACAGATAAATATTCTCATTTCTCTCTCTCTCTCTCTCTCTTTTTCTCTCTTTATATATATATAAATATATATATATATATATATATATATATAGAATTTAATAATTTCAAATTTATAAAATGTTTTCTAAAACCATTTGAGAAAATATGGACGTAAGTCGAATGTGTCCGCATGGTGTCTACTATTACGTAACGTAACATATGAGATGTATGTAGTAGGTACATGTAATATTGTAGAAATGTAGAAATTCATATCTGGATTTTAAAATTAGAATTGTGCTTTATGGTGTCACATTTTTTTGGTAACGACGTTATTGCAAGAAATTTATACAAAGAGATGAGTGAAAAAATAACTTTTTGTGATAATATTACACTTATATAGTAAATAGCGATAAATGATAGATTGGATATTAAAAGTATATGTATATAAACGTGGCCTTTTGAAAAACGATAGTATATAAGCACATATTTGCTCACACGCTGAATAATTATTCTGAATAATTACGATTCTATGTGTAATATCCAAGAATGTAACATTTATAAAATTGTTTAAGCCATACAAGTTTAAGAAAATCAAGTTCGGATTAGAGTTCGAGATTAGCAAGTCGGTAAATGGGTCGCGATACACGACGTTATCTAGCTTTGGTCATTGGCCAGCGAAACTCGTTTAAGAAGACGCGAGAGTATTGTGTAACACGTCTAATAATAGTAATAATGGTACTACTAGTAGTAATAGTATGGTTAACAGAAACAGTACCGAATCTTATGGAAGAATTATTACACTGCGCTTTTTCTATTAATTTTATTACACAGGCAATTATATATATATATATATATATATATATATATGTACATACATATAGCAGACATATACACATACGCACAACTAACCTGACAGAGATTTGTTATAGTTTTTTTTACATACCGGCTCTGTTGTTTTCAAGTATCGACCTTGGTCGACATAGTAATCCTTGTTGTACATCTAATGACAAATTACTTGATATTTTTTGTTGTATCGCATTATCTTATTGTATTTGGTGCATAGCAAATTGTACGTTACGTGTTATAGTACGCTTTCATCGGATGTTTCTTAATTCGAATTACCGATCAAGTGCAAAAGATAAAGTAAAAAGTACTACTAGAAAGATGGGTGTAGGGGGAGGAACGAAATACGTCGAGAATAAAGCAGAACGTATTTTATAAATTGACCATAGCGTTATTTCGTGTCATCGTATCTTTGCCTTGTTATGTAACCGATAGTAGTGCAGCTATTCGCGCTAATCGTTGCGTCTTGATTCTTCTCGATGACTTTCGAGACTTTTTGATACCTGTTTACGTGTTTACCGGCCGATTAGCAAACGGATCTACCAAAATATCGCTGTATTTCATTCGAATGTTACGTAAAATTCGAACATGATGTATGTTTCTTTAAATTTTCAAATATCGTCGACCGAAGATGACAGTGCTTTATTTATTTTATAACATAGGAGAACGTGCGTTCCTCGATCGCTGTTTCAGGGAAGTAGTTATGTCAAATTTCCAAGTTTTCACACTGTTTGTTAATGGTTATTGACTATGTTTAGTTTTTGCATACAATGGGACCAGTTTTATAGAATATAATTGGTTTAACAGGGAAATCATTCATAACAACAGTAATATATTATCTGTTATCGGTATCGTAATTTTTAGTACTTTCGTGCTTTGGGTCAGACGTATATACAGTGTTTGAGGTTATCGTGTCAAACGTTGCGTGAGCAGAGAGGCTATAGTTGGTGGAATAGGATATTGTAAAGTAAAATTTCTTCGGTTTGAATAATCTCGATGGTCGTAGATAAAGTAGAGTGGAGACACGTATGTATGAAAGTTCGTCGTTATTTCGTCGAACACCGATAGATTTTGAATCGGAATGCAATAATCTTGGTTAGATTCTTTTCTACAAAATTATGCATTATTGTCAAACTAGAGGTCTTATCTAATCATGTTCGGTACGCAAATGCGAATCGAACATAAAATCACTTTTCTCGCGTGTCTAATTTAGAGTATATTGAAGAAAAAAGGTAGAATATACATAATATGATGTTTGAACATTAAAAGATTATTAGGACGAAATGAGAAGACATGCCACGGCGCAAAGCACGAACAGAACAGCCCAAAGGCCGTGTCTAAAATCGTTCTATGCTCGCTGACCTATGAAGAATGTTCGTCTCTCCTCTTGAATCGATGTTCCTTTGCTTGTCGAAGGTTCGAAGCTCTGCCATATAATATATGTATTGCTCTCGAAACATCTCCTCTGCGAAAGCCGTGTTCGTTGAATACGTGTATCCGTTCAAGGATCGGTGTAACAACCGATACATCGAGTTGAAGTTTTATTTTTCCTTTACCTGACAAATTGTGAGTTAGAAGGAAAACAATAATTCTGTTATTCGACCGTTCTGTTACCTGAGAAGCGGTGTTTTCGACATGTCAGTTTCTTATAAGATATACCTACATATTATAATACATATAATTGTATTGTATTACTTTAAAATTTGTTTTTTCCAAACATTTTTTCCTTTACCTGACAAATTGTTAGTTAGAAGGAAAGCAATAATTCTTTTATTCGACCGTTCTGTTACCAGCAAAATGATGTTTTGGACCTGACAGTTTCTTAGGATATATACCTACATATTATAATACATATAATATATAACTGTATTATATTTGTTTTCCTCGAGCATCTTTTCCTTTTCCTGACAAATTGTGAGTCAGAAGGAAAGCAATAAATTTGTCGTTCGACCGTTCTTTT